AGTTCGTTATAAGCGTGTTCGTTATAACCGTAGTTTACTGTGGTTGCCTTTTACGGCAAGCATGGGTTGCTGAAGACCTATTCTCACCAGAGTCTTCACGGGGAACCTATATCAGATAGTTGTCAAAGGGTGCATTGTTAGCTACAGATGGTTCGAAACTTGTCTGGCATTGTGTGAGTTAATCATGAGCTGGGTAATTGTATGAGTTAGAATTGTTGAGTTGTATTGGTATGGCTGGATTGAGTAAGGCAGGAGAGTTAGATATAAGTTAAGCAGTGATACGTTAATACACATGTCATGACTTTATATCCTTTTACGCCCTGTGGAATATGTCAGATAATCGAGACTGGTTAATCTCTGGCGTTGAGGTTTGGGAATTACGAGTTGGGCACACGAGTTATGAGTGGTGCAGGAGAGGTAGTTAGGAAGGCGAGTGTAACTCTACAACCAGTGTTCACCTCTCTGTGTTTCCGCCAAATTACGTTGACCAAACACACCTCCCGATCTCGTCCAATTCTCCCTTGACTACAGGCGGGGTCTTTGATCGAGTATCGCTCCTGCCATTTATAAACGCGCGTCGTTCCGGGTATTTGCGTTGTTCACGAGTAAGCTGTGTAATTGATGTTCAATAACTAGCCCTTGGTCATTGCTCTGGCTATTACAGGCCACACGAGTGATGTATGTTGACTTGGTAAACACACGGTGGAGGGACGCACGTGATATTGAGTTGTATTGGAATGGCTGAATTAATTACTTCCAGTCCCGGCAATACACACACACACTCACACAGACAGGCAAAATATGTTTGTGGGATTTGTCTAAGTAGATTATGGAGAGTGTTTCGGATGTTTGAAGAAATAACAAGCTACATGTAGTCTTTAATGGTCCATTGCCATCAGTTGACATTGCAATGAACAGAAACACGTTGTTGCACTGTATGTCAACGCTCCTGGGTTAACTCACACATTCAGAATAACTGAAATACTTTTCAAAGCGGCGTAAAAGGTAACTCACTCACTATCGTGATTGTACAGTGTTACAGTTTGGGGGTTATACCCTACATACACACAGGGGCGGTCAGGTAGCCTAGTGGTTAAATCGTTCGCTCGTCACGCTGAAGACCTGGGTTCGATTCCCGACATTGGTACAATGTGTGAAGCACATTTCTGGTGACCCCCGTCGTGATATTGCTGGAATATTGCTAAAAGCGGCGTAAAACCATACTCACTCACTCACTCACTCACTCACATACACACAGTAGGTGGTCCTCAAACACTGGAATTCATTGAAAGTATACAATGAGAAGTGAATGTATCTGTTACTTAGGTGTGCCAGGATGTTGGTGATGAGTACTTAGATGTGCCAGGATGTTGGTGATGAGTACTTAGATGTGCCAGGGTGTTGGTGATGAGTACTTAGATGTGCCAGGATGTTGGTGATGAGTACTTAGATGTGCCAGGATGTTGGTGATGAGTACTTAGATGTGCCAGGATGTTGGTGATGAGTACTTAGATGTGCCAGGTTGTTGGTGATGAGTACTTAGATGTGCCAGGATGTTGGTGATGAGTACTTAGATGTGCCAGGATGTTGGTGATGAGTACTTAGATGTGCCAGGTTGTTGGTGATGAGTACTTAGATGTGCCAGGATGTTGGTGATGAGTACTTAGATGTGCCAGGATGTTGGTGATGAGTACTTAGGTATGCCAGGATGTTGGTGATGAATACGTAGATGTGCCAGGATGTTGGTGATGAGTACTTAGGTGTTCCAGGATGCTGGTGATGAGTACTTAGATGTACCAGGGTGTTGGTGATGAGTACTTAGGAGTGCCAGGGTGTTGATGATGAGTACTTAGATGTGCCAGGATGTTGGTGATGAGTACTTAGATGTGCCAGGGTGTTGGTGATGAGTTCTTAGATGTGCCAGGATGTTGGTGATGAGTACTGAGATGTGCCAGGATGTTGGTGATGAGTACTTAGATGTGCCAGGATGTTGGTGATGAGTACTTAGGTGTGCCAGGATGTTGGTGATGAGTACTTAGGTGTGCCAGGATGTTGGTGATGAGTACTTAGATGTGCTAGGTTGTTGGTGATGAGTACTTAGATGTGCCAGGATGTTGGTGATGAGTACTTAGATGTGCCAGGATGTTGGTGATGAGTACTTAGATGTGCCAGGATGTTGGTGATGAGTACTTAGATGTGCTAGGTTGTTGGTGATGAGTACTTAGATGTGCCAGGATGTTGGTGATGAGTACTTAGATGTGCCAGGATGTTGGTGATGAGTACTTAGATGTGCCAGGATGTTGGTGATGAGTACTTAGATGTGCCAGGGTGTTGGTGATGAGTTCTTAGATGTGCCAGGATGTTGGTGATGAGTACTGAGATGTGCCAGGATGTTGGTGATGAGTACTTAGATGTGCCAGGATGTTGGTGATGAGTACTTAGGTGTGCCAGGATGTTGGTGATGAGTACTTAGGTGTGCCAGGATGTTGGTGATGAGTACTTAGGTGTGCCAGGATGTTGGTGATGAGTACTTAGATGTGCTAGGATGTTGGTGATGAGTACTTAGATGTGCCAGGATGTTGGTGATGAGTACTGAGATGTGCCAGGATGTTGGTGATGAGTACTTAGATGTGCCAGGATGTTGGTGATGAGTACTTAGGTGTGCCAGGATGTTGGTGATGAGTACTTAGGTGTGCCAGGATGTTGGTGATGAGTACTTAGGTGTGCCAGGATGTTGGTGATGAGTACTTAGGTGTGCCAGGATGTTGGTGATGAGTACTTAGATGTGCCAGGATGTTGGTGATGAGTACTTAGATGTGCCAGGATGTTGGTGATGAGTACTTAGGTGTGCCAGGGTGTTGGTGATGAGTACTTAGATGTGCCAGGTTGTTGGTGATGAGTACTGAGGTATGCCAGGATGTTGGTGATGAGTACTTAGATGTGCCAGGTTGTTGGTGATGAGTACTGAGGTATGCCAGGATGTTGGTGATGAGTACTGAGGTATGCCAGGATGTTGGTGATGAGTACTTATGTATGCCAGGATGTTGGTGATGAGTACTTAGATGTGCTAGGTTGTTGGTGATGAGTACTTAGGTATGCCAGGATGTTGGTGATGAGTACTTAGATGTGCCAGGATGTTGGTGATGAGTACTGAGGTATGCCAGGGTGTTGTTGATGAGTACTTAGATGTGCTAGGTTGTTGGTGATGAGTACTTAGGTGTGCCAGGGTGTTGGTGATGAGTACTGAGGTATGCCAGGATGTTGGTGATGAGTACTTAGATGTGCTAGGTTGTTGGTGATGAGTACTTAGGTGTGCCAGGGTGTTGGTGATGAGTACTTAGGTATGCCAGGATGTTGGTGATGAGTACTTAGATGTGCCAGGTTGTTGGTGATGAGTACTGAGGTATGCCAGGATGTTGGTGATGAGTACTTAGATGTGCCAGGTTGTTGGTGATGAATACTTAATAAATTTATAGAAAACGTGACTTAAATACATCTCTCAAGGCAAGACACACAACGATCAATGACAGTTCCAAGTATGAAGACAACTCATGCTAAACCTGAGCACTGGGTGCTGAACAGACTCTCACTCTGCTGGACGGCACGAAGCACTAATGAGAGGTTATGGGACAAGATTACAAATAGATAGTGGTTCCTGGCAAAATATTAGCTAAGTATGCAAATTGGGTCATTAAAATGTGATTAAGGATGAATTCATGTTCTTTTGAAATGTTCATTGAATGAAGAGATAAAAGAAAACTATGTACCAAGAGAATATACAGATACATCTTTTAATTCATTTTGTATTGTCATGAGCGAAAGTCTAACACCCGTTGTAGAATAAGGATAAGTAGGATAATTATCAGTTTTCGATAATTATGTCTCCTTAAACTGTTCATGTATGTATAGCTATATTTACCAAAATGATTAATTAATATGTGTCGCTGTAAATGAATTGAATGGAATGGTGTGATAAGTAATATAACATGTATCTAAATAGCTGAAGCAGAGCACAAATGATCGAAGGAAATCAATGTAACGACCGCTCAGCGGAGGCTGTGTACTTTTGCTTACACAATAACTCGATACAAGGACTGATCATTAGCTCACTTGACACGTATGCAAGTAAAGGTTTTAAGAAACAACATTTAGTCACTCCCATTATATTTTCAGTCATATCTGATGAGACGATATCGTTCGTTTTAACAGGACCGTATGTGTTGTAATTCCACTGGTTGGTTGTCGAGTTCTTCACACGAATTGGTTACTTTTGCACAAAAGGCAGTTTTATAGGGTTAAACATAACATCGTATACGAAGTGGTTTTAGAGGAAACTTACGGATACATATGTGTACTATTATTTTAGAGGTCAAACAAGCATAATTCTGTGTACTATCTGTTGTTTGGAGTTCAATAGGTATTATCATGTATGGGTGATATTCGGATAATTATGCATACGAAGTATCGCCTTTGTACAAATGAGGTGAGGTGAAACTGGGTTTAATGTCCCGTCCAAGATTATTGCACTTATATACCGACGTGCATGCACGTGTGTGTGTGTGGCTGCTTGTATTAGTCCGGACTGATGCCGATTTATAGCGCTAGCCCACTGAGATACCTTGCCGCAGTTTAACATGAATACCCCACTCAGACACAGTATACTGACTCCGAGCCGACCAGTCCTTGTTTTACCCCCTAAATGCCGAGCGCAAGACAGGGTAACAAGTACCATCTTTTAACGTCTTTTGGTATGACGCGGGCGGGGGTCGAATCCCGGACCTTCCTCTCTCCGGGCGAACGCTCTACCACTAGACCACGGAGGCGGTGTGTACAAATTAAAGGGGAAAAGCTTCATAGCAAATCTCACACATCATGTGTTGCTATTGTACTTGTATGTTCAGGGCTATGCAAACCTAACATATCATATTTGACATGCATATATTACATGTTACTAATTCAACTATCAACTAATCTGTATTATGTTTCGTGCATATTTTCAGGCAGAACAAGACCTATGGGAAAGACTGATGGCATCTCGAACAATGCGTCATTGAGTCACGTGACCTCTGACGTCATCATCCTGTCGCCCGGATGCAAAATGTAAGGCTGCATAACACCATTCCTTCCTCCTGGATTAGACGTTTACCGCCCATGGTCTGCCGCTGAGAGAGAGAGCGAGAGATGATTGCCGACATACGCCCTTGACGGACATTTTCAAAAATAAATGTTTCTTTTCAGAAATTGCACGTTAAAACTTTGATATTCGTATAGGTCGAGAGTGAACACACAATAGTTGTCAGAGTGCTGTCTGGGTACCGTGTCTTTGACTTTGTTACTGATGTTGAAACGACACTTCATGGAATAAACTTCATGTTTTCACAAAAAAAGATATTTGCCTTTTATTTATCGAGGGTAGCCTAGTGGTTAAAGCGTTCTCTCGTCAGGCCTTAGACCCGGGTTCGATTCCCCACATGGGTACAATATGTTGAAGCCCATTTCTTGTGTCCCCCGCGGTCATAATGCTGGAATAAAAGCGGCGTAAAACCATACACGGTTATTCACTCACTCACTTGCATTGAAACATTGAATAATATGGAACCCAATTAACAACTAGAGTGATATACGTCACAAACATGTTCCTTTGAAAACGGACTCATGAATTCATGTTTGAGTCACTTGAATGACAGTGACAGGATAGCCTTTTATTCGGAGCCAAGTCCCCCTTTAAAGGATTCCCAACAGCGAGGATGACTTCATGCATATACTGCGGGGTGCTGCAATGTCGGCTCACACAGACCGTAATTACTTATAAGCTGCAGAATCTCTGTACTTATACAGAATAATTGGTAAATGCGCTATGGTTTCACTGGACTTCTGGTTCATCCCTTGATTGTCTGGTTTGTTCAGGGCAGGACATGGTTACCCTGCTACCGGTAGGGCAGGACATGGTTACCCTGCTACCGGTAAGGCAGGACATGGTTACCCTCTTCGCGAACGTCCGATGTCATCACTGATCTTCAGCGCTCCATTCACACAATTTTCACTTATTTTGCCCTTTACGTCAAATGGAATACCACGATGTTTCGGTGGGTAACCAAGACTGATTCATGTATATACAGTAAACTACGTTTCTAACGAACACGCTTATAACGAACAGACGGATGTAACGAACCGTTTTGTTTTGTCCCGGCCATTTGCTCAACGAACAGATTAAAGGCTTATAATTATGTATATGCGGAAGACATGCGTATAACGAACTACGGTTATAACGAAGTAAAATTAGTGGTCCCTTAGTTCGTTATAAGTGTAGTAAACTGTAGTCACAAATGTACCCATTTCAAGAAACGAAGCAGAATCCTTGACAGGAAAGCATGGCCCCCAATAATCAAAAGACGTATGTAGACACCCGGCTGTGTACGGTGCAACCAGTTACTGTTGCAAAGATACATGCTTGGACGTGTTTATTGTTTGTAAGTACGCTACAGTGCTGCTCCTTGCTGCTTCATCAGGTCAAAACGGATGTTTCTATTTTCTAAATGCCATAAAGAGTTCACAATATGTCAGCTGATATGATTACAGACAGACAGACAGACAGACAGAAACACACACACACACACATACACACACACACACACACACACACACACACACACACACACACACACACACACACACACACACACACACACACACACACACACACACACGCAACACACACACGCACACACCATACATACACAGACAGACAGGTGTCTTGGTGTACAAGACAATAGCATTAGAATAAATAATAATATGATAAAGATGCCGGACAAAATAATATATCACCAGGCTTATGTTACCCCCTCACACACACACACACGCCACACACCACACCACGCCACCCACCACAACACACACACACACACACACACACACACACACACACACACACACACACACACACACACACACACACACACACACACACACACACACACACACACACACACACACACACACACACACACACACAGGCGTCTTGATGTGCAAGATAATGTAACATTCTAAGGTGTAACAGCCAACACACACAACAGCATTTGAAGTTATCTGATGTTATATAACTGAAACACGAGATAGTTCTTTCATCCACGTTAGACATGTACTATCAGAGAACAACAAATTGAGTTAATTTTCTCTTTTACATGTTTTAACACGTTGTGGTTCGATGGCCAACTTTTTGTTTTGAAAACTAAAGCTGGATTTCTCGCGTTCACAAATCAAAATTGTTTCCAAGACAGCTAAATGAGACACGAGCATGTTTTACATAATCCTACAGGGACTAAATTGTGAATCATCAAGTTCAAACTGACGCAATTTAACAGTCACAATGTCGTTGTCACATTGCATCACGGCATATTGGCAGACAAATGATGGCTTTAATATTCCATGGAGGTATGTTTTTGTTTTGGACTGAGATACAGAATATACGTGTATATGGTTTATCCCCAGGGGAAAATGACGTGGATATAGAGAGGAATAAAATTAAAGCTTGACGATTTCGTGCGATGGTGGAATTTGATTACAATTAACACAAGAGAACCATTCATCCCATATGACCTTTCCGATTTTCAAAATGGCCGCTACCTTCACATAAAGGGACCCGTTACTTTCCTGGTTACTTGAAAGTGTATTTGATTAAAGTGATGGTTATCTACAAAGCAGACTGTCGGCCCCTGCAGCTTAGAGAGGATATCCATGGAACAACTTGCCTGGGGTGTCAACTCTGCTCTCATCCTTACGCCGTCTTTATTCTTCCTCATTCACATAATGTCCACCAGCCACTCTCTACCAGATTCCATGGCATGCATCAGTGTCTAGCTACCTTAACTGCAACAATATGTCTACTCTCTTGTATTGCAACAATCGTCTACCCTCCTCTACTGCAACAATTTGCCGTCAATTATCTACAACAATATGTCTACCTCCCCCAACTGCAACAATGTCTTCCCTCCTTTGAGGGACAATTGTCTTCTTTCCTTTATTTAAGGATTAAAGTTGTATTTGCTGACGTTCATCAGCCGATGAAGACAGTGCCTTACATGAGCAAATTCCATGATGCGCGAAGCGTGAGACAACTTCAATCTTTATATTGACAGATACATAAATCATAACAAAACAATCCATTAAACATCAAACTTTAATCATTTAAAGCGAACTATATGGACGCGGAGAGTCGTGACGTCGTGGCGTCATCCGCCCCACACATTCCATTTAGAGTGACATCCCTTGGTTTTACAAACGGCAGAAAATGGCGGCTACGGCTACTTGAAATAAAAGTTGCACCCAGTAAAGTTAGCGTTGGAAAGAAATCCAGACCCGGCTGATGCTAAAAATGGAATGATATTAACGTTCTATGAACTTTGGGTGTGTGTTTGAGTCATACTACGGCTGCTGATGACGGGGATTACCGCTTGAGGCGGCGCGGTTGGATTTTCCGAAGCAATACACGACAGTGTGGAGCTCAGTGATTTCTTTTGGTAAGTCGAGCATTCTCTGTTATAGCTTCGAATGGACGCTTCATTTCGGTGACCCGACGTAAACATGATCTCTCTGGCTTCAAAGCCTGCATCATTCAAAGCCTGAATCGATGTCGCTCTCAGTTTTCCATAATGATTTTTTAATGTTATTTTTAGACAATGAGGAATCCCCCCTAAAGTAGTTCTGTATGTCTCCGCTCCATTGACAACGTAATCACGTGACATACTGACGTTCATCGGGAAACGAACGACAGTTAGTTTGGTAGTGTTCACCTGGGCGAGGTCACCCACTACTGTCAATATTACACAATGTGTTTTCCCTCTACAGCAGCAATGTGTCTATCCTACCACTACTGCACGAAAGTGTCGTCCCTCATCTACTGTCACAACTTCCCTACTTCACTCAACTGCAAAAATGTGTCTTCCCTCATCTACTGCAACAATGTGTCTTCCCTCCTCTACTGCAACGTGTCTTCCCTCCTCTACTGCAACAACGTGTCTTCCCTCCTCTACTGCAACAACGTGTCTTCCCTCCTCTACTACAAAAATGTGTCTTCCCTCCTCTACTGCAACAATGTGTCTTCCCTCCTCTACTGCAACGTGTCTTCCCTCCTCTACTGCAACAACGTGTCTTCCCTCCTCTACTGCAACAAAGTGTCTTCCCTCCTCTACTGCAACAACGTGTCTTCCCTTCTCTACTGCAACAAGGTGTCTTTCCTCAACCACTGCAACAATCTATCTACCTCCCTCAACTGCATCCAGATGTCTTCCCTTCTCCACTGCATGAATGTGTCTACTGCATCTACTGCAACAATGTCTATTCCCTCCTCTCCTGCAACAACGTGTCTATTCGCTTTCTCTGAATACTATATTAATCACTATAGAATATGGTCCTCATGATTTTTCAATCGCCGTCTTGTTGAACCCGCAGAGGTCAGCTAGCCGGCCTGTACGGACATAATGACGTCATGATGTTTAATTTGACGTCACTTGTTTGTCACGTCACAATTGAACCTGTCTGACCGCTGAACCACTAAACTCTAACGATACATTCATTACATATGTCAGCAGTAGGGCTGAACGTTGGTTTGCACCTCTCACTTGAAGTCTCGTTGTGCTCATCCGTCTCGCTGTGAAACCCCTCCCCGGTGTCCCCCGCCGTGATATTGCTGGAATATTGCTAAAAACGGCGTAAATCCATACTCACTCACTCACTCACCCGTCTCGCTGTGAAACCCCTTCCCGGTGTCCCCCGCCGTGATATTGCTGGAATATTGCTAAAAACGGCGTAAAGCCATACTCACTCACTCACTCACTCACCTATCCGTCTCGCTGTGAAGCCCCGTTCTGGTGTCCCCCGCCGTGATATTGCTGGAATATTGCTAAAAGCGGCGTATATCAATACTCACTCACTCTACAACTTATCCGTCAAAATCGCAACACATGTAACATATTCATCAACACGAGGTCAAAAATGTTTATTTCTGGTCCGACTTTTAAACACGTCCACGGATACACGTCCACGTAGTTCCCGGTGACAAATTATTGCAGGTAGGACACATGTAGGGAATCCTAGAAGGGCCATTGTCGCGTTGTAGCATTGTCGCTTTGTCGCCTTATGGTAAAATAACAACAAAAAATATTTATAGCGCGCAAATTCGACAATGCGACAATGCGACAAATGGCCAAAATGTCGCGTTGTCGCGCTTTTTGACACTAATTTTGACACCTTTTGCTTGTTTTTGTAAAGGCGACAACGCGACATTGTCCCTTCTAGTGTTCCATACTTACTGAGCATGTCCACAGCAGATACTTTACAGAGGGCACACACATAGCTCTGTAAAGTAGTTCCATAACGATGTTCTTCTAAC